AACTACTGGCTCAGCAACTATTGCTCTGTGTTTCAAAGGAGTAGTTAACTTGGAGGTTATCACCTGGTTAAATCGATTATGAGATTGTTCAAGGGAAAATCCTAAGGCTTGCATTTTATAACTAAAAGAAGATACAGGGAGGAAAGTTTGAACTCTTCTTGAACCTCATCCCTGGAGGTTATAGCTTCACTTGGATCCCAGCTTATAGCTGGAAGAGGCAGTTACGTTGGCTGAGTCCTGTGTAAATGGGGCCAACTCTTGGGTCTGATTATGTCTCCCTGGCCAGTCATATTAGCATCATGGGAGTTTCAGCGCAGACCAGTAAATAACATGGAGAAAATGTTAAGCAGAAACATAAGTTAAGCCAGTCAGGTTAGGCAGTCATGGGATAGGGACCTGTTAACCTAGAAGTCTCTCCTCTTTGGACTAGTTAACAACAGAGTTAAAGAATATTTGAAAGGTCTCAGAGATCATTTAGCCCAACCACTTTATCATCCAGAAATGTTGTCTAGACAGAGTAATTCCTTGCCCAAGACCATTCATCAAGCCAGTGCTGAGCAGAGAATAGAATCGTGGCCTTCAATGTAGCATGCCTTCGACTGACTTGACCGCCTTGACTGACAACCTCCCCCTTACTTTTGCAGGGAAAGATGGAACTGGAAGAAACGATTAAAGTATGGAAGCAGCGGACACATGTTATGAGGTTTTTCCATGAAACAGAAGCACCAAGGCCAAAGGATTTCCTGTCCAAGTTCTATGTTGGCCACGACCCATGAAGTGGAAAGGTGTATGTTGATATTTCATTATTTTAGAGCACAGATAAACTCATTATACCATGGTCACTTCATGATAGAATTCTGTTGGTGAACCAGTTTTCTGCAGTCTCATTTTTTGCCTGAACAAGTGGGGTCTTGGTATACACACCACCTGTTCTTTCCCTTTTCTTGAAGTGTGGTATTTGCTGTAAATTAAAATGGATTCTCTTTCTCAGAGCCTTGCATGTCGGTAAACAGGAAGGAATGAGGCCATCTGCTCAGAAACTGTCACACTGGCTATGAGGCTGGATGACTTCTTTAATTTAGTTGTTTCCACAGCTTCCACGATTAGACACCTTGGTTTTAGGGCACAGATTATCCAAAATTAACCAACTCTTGCTGTCAGAGAGGGATCAGAGCAGCACTAACAGGCACGGAAGTAGAGCTGACAAGATGGGCTAGTTTTCCCTGGTTCTAGAGAAAATGGATGCTCAGTGGCCTAGCCTCTCTATTTGCAACAAGCACTGGTCCTTAAAATGAAATTAACTTCCTTCCAGTTAGACACCCTGCTAGGGACACAGCTGTTCAGTGTACACAGAATAGAAATATTCCTACTGTTTTTGCAAACTCTGGTGTAGCTCTAAGTGATAGGAGAATAAATGTCAATTCAGGTTAAGGAACTGATCTCTGTTTGCTTTGGATGGTGGTCTTCCCTGTCCCTTCCCTGGGCAGTCCAGATGCTTGGGGAAAGGGGTTCAGGATCTATAGGTATGACCATCCTGAGTGTTCCCAAACCTTTCAGCACCCAGGATCCCTTTATTATCTTTTCACCTAAGGAACATGGGGAAAAAACTCAAACTGAGCATTTGTATTTTTTTTTTTTTTTTTGGAGACAGTCTCGCTCTGTTACCCTGGCTAGAGTGCTGTGGCGTCAGCCTAACTCACAGCAACCTCAAACTCCTGGGCTCAAGCAATCCTCCTGTCTCAGCCTCCTGAGTGCTAGGACTACAGGCACATGCTACCATGCCTGGCCAATTTTTTCTATATATTTTTAGTTGTCCAGCTAATTTCTTTCTATTTTTAGTAGAGAGGGGGTCTCGCTCTTGCTCAGGCTGGTCTCAAACTCCTGAGCTCAAAAGATCCACCTGCCTTGGCTTCTCAGAGTGCTAGGATTACAGGCATGAGCCACCACGCCCAGTCTCCACCTTTGCTCTTTTCTAAAATTCCTAATATAGTATCTTGGTGACCAGCTTTCTGGGGGAAAAACCCAAATTTATAGTGTTTGCCATTTTCCGTGGCATAAATACTCCCACTATGATTGATTTTTAGGCTGTCAAAGTGAAATCATTGAAGGCAGTTTGGGGAAGAGATGTGTATAATTGGCTGTCTGTGATACCTACTCCATGGACACTAAGTTATTTCTAGCGTGAATGATCCTTTCTGTTGTTAACATTTACCTATCAAGCTGGGATGCCAGTTCTCCTGTTAGATTTATGCTATTGCTTATGCCCTGGTTGGATCAGAAACCTTGTTTTCTTTGCAATGTGGCATGGTATTTCCCTCAGCAGGTGCTTTATTTTTTATTGCTGTCACTAAGTTCTGAGTGTAATCAAAGATTGAAGCTTTATTGTTGATTAATCAGGTCACTAAGTGCCCCTTATGGTTTTCTTGGTTGTGATAGTTCTATAGACCATCGCAGGAACGGGCAGCACAGTGCTCATTCTAACCCCTGAGCCTTGCTTATGCTGTCCCGCAGCCTGTTGTACCTCTCTTGCCATGTCTGTATTCCACCTACCACACAGGGCCCTGTTTTGCTTTCATCAACAGCAGATCCACTGAAGGCTGAATGTGCTAGGGGGTGGGAACACAAATGACTAAAACCCAATTTTCAGAGCATATCCATATGGTTCATGTGAAGTTCCAGGTCACTGAGTCTGTGCCACTATTTTAGGCGCTTACTTAATCAGGGATTGGTGAATATTTTGATTTTTTGCTTACATTCATAGTTGGATGTCCCTCCAATTGGAATTTAACACCTAGAGAACTGGAGCTACATATTAAACTTCTCTCTCCTTCCCCCAAGGAACCTAATAATGGTATTAAATAGTAACTACTTGTTGGACTGAAGCCTTTCCTAACCTGCACAAACCCTCAACTCCAACTTCATGTGGTACTTGTAGCCTAAGCCGTGTCATTTTACATTAATTTCAACCCTGTCACCTTTTGCTGATTGTTCCATGTAAAAATAATGCTAACATTTATTGAGAGCTTGTTCCACGTATGGCACTGTTGTAAGCATTTTGCATTATCTCATGGAATCCTCACAACAGCTCCGAAGTTCATGTGTTATTATCATCCTCATTTCACTGATAAATAAGTACACTCAGGCACAAGGAAGTTAACTTATACAGGATCATAGAGCTGATAAGTGACGGAGTGGGATTTGAACCCACGTTGTTCAGACTCTTGAAGTATGCTATTCTGCTTCTTCAAACGCAGTGGTCTTGTCTCTCCCAACAAAAGGTAAGCTCCTGGAGAGCAAACGCCATGTTTTCACACTTGCTCACATCCTGAAGCCCTGGCTTAGTGTTGGGCTCATGTTTGGTGAATAGCATGAATGGGCATCCTGTATGTATTCAATGGATGTCCTTGACTCTAGTTTTTAAAAACATGTTCTAACCTTATAATTGCTACCCTGAATCTTGTTTTTCTTTCTAGTGCATTTATTCCAGCTAGACATCACTGTGAAACAGGGACGGGATAAAGTCCGAGAAATGTTTATGAAGAATGCCCATGTCACAGACCCCAGAGTGGTTGATCTTCTGGTCATTAAGGTAACTGACCCTCCCTGACCAATTTAAAAGATCAGCCAACTTGTCTAGTGCTTCTCAGTCTTCCCAGCTGAATATTTTGTCTCCAAGTTTATTTATTTATTTATTTTTTATTTAAAGAAAATATTTTTCCAGTGGTCTAAGAAGCCAGCAGATTGTCTCCAAGTTTAAAAAGCAACTACTGGCTCAGCAACTATTGCTCTGTGTTTCAAAGGAGTAGTTAACTTGGAGGTTATCACCTGGTTAAATCGATTATGAGATTGTTCAAGGGAAAATCCTAAGGCTTGCATTTTATAACTAAAAGAAGATACAGGGAGGAAAGTTTGAACTCTTCTTGAACCTCATCCCTGGAGGTTATAGCTTCACTTGGATCCCAGCTTATAGCTGGAAGAGGCAGTTACGTTGGCTGAGTCCTGTGTAAATGGGGCCAACTCTTGGGTCTGATTATGTCTCCCTGGCCAGTCATATTAGCATCATGGGAGTTTCAGCGCAGACCAGTAAATAACATGGAGAAAATGTTAAGCAGAAACATAAGTTAAGCCAGTCAGGTTAGGCAGTCATGGGATAGGGACCTGTTAACCTAGAAGTCTCTCCTCTTTGGACTAGTTAACAACAGAGTTAAAGAATATTTGAAAGGTCTCAGAGATCATTTAGCCCAACCACTTTATCATCCAGAAATGTTGTCTAGACAGAGTAATTCCTTGCCCAAGACCATTCATCAAGCCAGTGCTGAGCAGAGAATAGAATCGTGGCCTTCAATGTAGCATGCCTTCGACTGACTTGACCGCCTTGACTGACAACCTCCCCCTTACTTTTGCAGGGAAAGATGGAACTGGAAGAAACGATTAAAGTATGGAAGCAGCGGACACATGTTATGAGGTTTTTCCATGAAACAGAAGCACCAAGGCCAAAGGATTTCCTGTCCAAGTTCTATGTTGGCCACGACCCATGAAGTGGAAAGGTGTATGTTGATATTTCATTATTTTAGAGCACAGATAAACTCATTATACCATGGTCACTTCATGATAGAATTCTGTTGGTGAACCAGTTTTCTGCAGTCTCATTTTTTGCCTGAACAAGTGGGGTCTTGGTATACACACCACCTGTTCTTTCCCTTTTCTTGAAGTGTGGTATTTGCTGTAAATTAAAATGGATTCTCTTTCTCAGAGCCTTGCATGTCGGTAAACAGGAAGGAATGAGGCCATCTGCTCAGAAACTGTCACACTGGCTATGAGGCTGGATGACTTCTTTAATTTAGTTGTTTCCACAGCTTCCACGATTAGACACCTTGGTTTTAGGGCACAGATTATCCAAAATTAACCAACTCTTGCTGTCAGAGAGGGATCAGAGCAGCACTAACAGGCACGGAAGTAGAGCTGACAAGATGGGCTAGTTTTCCCTGGTTCTAGAGAAAATGGATGCTCAGTGGCCTAGCCTCTCTATTTGCAACAAGCACTGGTCCTTAAAATGAAATTAACTTCCTTCCAGTTAGACACCCTGCTAGGGACACAGCTGTTCAGTGTACACAGAATAGAAATATTCCTACTGTTTTTGCAAACTCTGGTGTAGCTCTAAGTGATAGGAGAATAAATGTCAATTCAGGTTAAGGAACTGATCTCTGTTTGCTTTGGATGGTGGTCTTCCCTGTCCCTTCCCTGGGCAGTCCAGATGCTTGGGGAAAGGGGTTCAGGATCTATAGGTATGACCATCCTGAGTGTTCCCAAACCTTTCAGCACCCAGGATCCCTTTATTATCTTTTCACCTAAGGAACATGGGGAAAAAACTCAAACTGAGCATTTGTATTTTTTTTTTTTTTTTTGGAGACAGTCTCGCTCTGTTACCCTGGCTAGAGTGCTGTGGCGTCAGCCTAACTCACAGCAACCTCAAACTCCTGGGCTCAAGCGATCCTCCTACCTCAGCCTCCTGAGTAGCTGGGATTATAGGCGTGCACCACCACGCCCAGATAATTTTTTCTGTTTTTAGTAGAGATGGGGTATTGCTCTTGCTGAGGCTGGTCTCAAACTCCTGAGCTCAAGCGATCCTCCCACCTTGGCCTCCTAGAGTGCTAGGATTACAGTGTGAGCCACAGAGCCCGGCCTCAGTGTTTTCTCTATTCTTTTACTCAACAATAGTCACATAAGACTTTCTCCCCACACAGGAAGCAAGCAATCAATTCTGCAGCAGACACCAACTAGCTGTCCTTCAGTTCTGACACTGTCTACCTAGAGATAGCGTCAGTTCATGACTGCCCTCCTCTTTGAGATGCCAGTTGCAAGTTGGAGCCTCCAGAACTTCTGACCAGCTGGCTTCAAGTTGGGGTTCCCACAACCCCCTCTTTAGGTTCAATTCATTTACCAGATAGACCAGCTCACAGAACTCAGGGCAACACGTTTACCGGTTTCTTATAAAGGATGTCACAAAGGATACATCTGAAGAGATGCATAGGGCAAAGTATTGGGGAAGGGGCTTGGAGCTTCATGCCTTCCCTGGGTGCAACACCCTCCAAAAACCTCGTGTTCAGCTATCTAGAAGCTCTCTGAACCCTGTCTTTTTGTGCCTTTTATGGAGACTTCATTGGCTAGGCATGATAGAAACATGGACAGCCATGTAGAAATGTGATTGTACAAAAAGGGAAGATATAATAGTAATAGATTGAGTAGGGAAAAGCTTTTCTGTTCAGATTCTCCTTGGGCTCTTCGTGTGGTATTTCCTCCTCCCCTGTATGGGGCAGCGCCCCTTCTGAAATGGAGGTTTTATGACCTACAATCCGACAAGGTAGATCAGAGAATTTCTTTAGGGCCCGCTCTAAGACAAAGGTGGGGGAAGGTGAGAGTCTATTTTTGGTTTCTATGGCCTGCCCTGGGGAGTAAAAGGAGCAGGTGAAAGGAGGGCAGAAGGTCAGAGAGAGATGCCCTTTCCTGAGGCCTGATGTGCCTCTTAATGTGAGCGGGGAAACAACATTGTAACAAAAGACTGAAACAAGGGCTTTGGGAGTTATGAGCCAGGAACCGGGGATGAAAACCAACATATATATATTATAATATCACAGAACCCAAGTTTTGAAAGAATCATTCTAATAATGATAGTTAAGTAGTGTAAGTTAATAATCAAAGCTCCTCATTATGGGCACATGATAATAAGCCAGTATCGCTGAACACAAAAAAGCTTGAGGATTTAGTACTTTGTTAGGGAAAACAGTTTCTGTTGGGCTTTTGTAAATAATAAAACTAGGTCCCAGGTCCCCATAACAACCTTTGTGGATCCATAGGCACCTGGATATCCTGGGTTATGAATCAAAGGCGTATGTTTCTCTGATGAGGAAGGGACAGCAGAGACAATAAACTGCAGCAACTAGAGTGCGCTCGTACTGAGAAACTTCAGCTGTCATTCAGTCATACGTAGCTGATGTTTATTATGTTTATTCATATTCGGTAGCTTGTATTCCAGTGCTCAGTGGACAGCACATCTTGGGGAACCTCCCGGAGCCTGGGGATCTGGGCTATTGTCACGGACCATGCAGGAGGCTTCACTGGACTGGGGAGGCTGAGGGCTTTCCCTGAGCCCTTCTGCTGACAGGGAAGGAAGAGGCTGAGAGCATCACCATGCCTTAAGTTAGCACCTTCTCCATTCTGAACTTCCTCCAGGCCCTGGAAGAAAGGAAAGCAGCAGTGACCTGGGCAATACAGCAGTCCTCCATCCACATCCTGAAAGAGAATTCCACAGAGTAGTTTCACCAAACATGGCAGGAGAAAGGCAGCTTTGAGTATGTTTGATTATGGATTCACATATTAACAGGGCATTCACCACAGGCCTGGCACTGGGGGCCCAAAGGTATAAAAAAACATGTTCCCTGCCAGCAAACAGCTCATAGTCTAGTAGAATTTTGGTGTGTGTTTAAGCACATACTACAGAGTGTTTTAAGAGAGGTACTGGTCACTCAGAGGAAAGAGGGATGAAGGAAGACTTAAAACACATCAAGGCTGGGCGCGGTGGCTCGCAACTGTAATCCCAGCGCTCTGGGAGGCTGAGGTGGGAGGATCACTTGAAGCTAGGAATTCAAGACCAGCCTGAGCAACATAGCGAGACCCCGTCTCTACAAAAAATAAAAAAATTAGATGGGCATGATGGTGTACACCTATAGTCCTAGCTAGGCAGGAGGATCACTTGAGCCCAGGAATTCGAGGCTGCAGTAAGCTGCGATCGTGCCACTACGCTCCAGCCTGGGTAACAGTGCAAGACCCTGTCTCAAAAAAACATTGAAGAATGGGTGGAATTAAGACAAAGAGCACTGGGGAAGAGCCTTCCACATGGGAAGACAATGGTCTGGGTTGGGTAAGAAATGGTAAATATTACGGATAGTTATGTGGGTGGGAATATGGAAAATGAGACTGTGATAAGAGGTATGACCAGATTACGGCAAGCCTTTAATGCCAGACTAAGGAGTCAGGAGCATCCTTATCTGTGACAGTCATCTTGCCATTCAGCATATATTAGAGCACAGGAAGTCAACACAACATAGCTGAATGGGAAGAGGACTGGAACTTCTTGGGGGAGGGTCTGTGAGTAGCGTACGAACCAGGCTGTGATGTCCAGGTACAGGCTGTACTAGTGCAGAGCTTGGTAATTAAAGCTGACTGGGGAGGACTTGTAGTTTCTAAATTTCAATACGGAACTGTTCAAATGATGCTGTTGGCATATTAAATTGTCAAGAAGACATAGGATTGATTGAATGATACGTCAAGGGTAACTGAAAAGGCTGGCTAGGACCCCCAACTTAGTTGAAAGAGACTCCAGTGAATGTGTAAGTTACCCTCATCCAACACAGGGAAAAGGCAAAATAAAAACATTAGCCGCCAAGTGGGTCAATTCATTAAAGCCTCTGCCCTGAGTGTGTAAATGACTGCATCATAGGTCAGATGCTTCACCCTGCTTCCTGCTCCTGGTTCATCTAGGGGTAGAGCAAATCTTACCTGTTAGTCATCATCATCATCGTCCTCTGGGACAAAAATGTCATGTTCCTCAAGTAGAGCGGCAAAGTTCTTGCTGATGAGCGTCCCAACATAGAGAAAGGGGATCACAATGGAGAATACGCGGAGAAGGCCGAAGGACATCTGCAGAAGGTCAGAGTGGTGGCCGTGAGCTCCAGAGTCCACTTTGGCAGGACCATAGAAGGCCAGGCCCTCTCATGTGCATTCCCTCCTATGGACCCCAGACCCATCATAAACAACTTGATTTTAAAGCCCTTGGAAAAATTCAGAGCAAGAACAATAATTAGAAAAGCAGATATAGTAATTGTTATGGCCACCAAAGTGAATATTGAAAAGAAAACTATAAGGCACTCTAGACATCTCAAAGTTAGGGCACAACCTGCTAATTAATTGCAGATACCTACAGACAAGCAGGCGAGAAAGTAAGAGGTTTATGGTCAGCTCCACTTGAAGAAGACACTAAATACAAGAAAATGGATTACAGAAAGATGTACAGTTAAGGGATATTTTATACAGTTAATAGGTTCCCTGATGCCTAGGAAATTTGATTTCACCACATTAAATTTTACAAACAGGTGTTTGCAAGTGGGCATGTCTTTACACTGTGACTATTTACGTGGACTGGGGGAGTGTCAGTAAAATCTCATCAATATTTCCTCATATTTTCTTGGAGTTTACAAAAGAAAAGGTTTTCAGCTGTGCCTTTTTATAAGGCAGCTCTTTCCCAACATAAACCATGCACCTTCTTTTCTTGCTTGCTGTGAAACTGCCCTGCAGTCAATTCTGTGAGTTAGCACAGGCCAGACTAGCTTTAAAAGAAGTTTTTTAATTCCCACACAGCTCTGCAGTCAAAAAGCAAACTTTTGTTTGATATAAGGGACTGTTTCCATTTTCCTTAGAAAAAACCCAAGGGTATTGAAGGCACAGGACAGCATTCGGTGGTGGATAAAAATAGGACCTGGTGGGAGTTGTACCAACAAGCAACCTGGAAGCTGGGACCTAACTCAGCTGCTAGCCTTGGATATTGACTTCACGGCTCTGGCCCTGATTCTTCATTTGTGAAAACAGCGATTGTACTCATTTCCTCCACATCTCTCAGGACTGCATATCACATGAATTAAATACTAAGTGACAACTCATAAAAAAATAAGGTCCGTCCCACATACCCTTTATTTACAAAATTCTTTCACAATTCATTACTTCATCAACTCGATGAGGCAGAGCAGAGATTACATGACTTGTCTAAACTGCACGCACAAAGCTGAGTCTTCTGACTCCTGAGAAATAGGGCACCGCACCCCTTACGAGAAGCTACTGCAAGATGCCATCTTTCTCAGCTTTTGCCCCTATCTTCTGTCTCCAAGCACCCAGCTCAACACTGGATTCTCATCGACCATTTTCTCCCACCTGTCAAAATAAGCAACATTAGCGCAAAAATTTGTCCTTGGTCCGCCTTCCAGTCTAAGGCGATGGTGTGGTTGGCTTCTACTTCTGTCAATCAGCGTGGGCCCGCACTGCACTCCCCACAACAATTGGCCTCGGCCCCTTCACCCCGCCTCCAGGCAGACACTCACTTTCACCGGTTTGGGCAAAATGGCGCCGCTGCGCGTAGCGATGACTGACCGCGACGGCACTAGGCTCTGACCTGAGCCGCCGTCATTGCCACCTTTCCTCAAGCTTGGCCCGCTCCGGAGAGCCCAGAATCGGACGGGTACCAGTGGTAGCCAGCGAGCTGCTCCGGACACCATCTCCCAGCTCCGCCCCTCGCCCGGGCACCCGGACCCCACTGTCCGACGCCGGTGCCGTCCTCAGGAAGAATGTCGCCTCAAGCCTCGCGAGGCTTCTGGAGCACACGAGAAGCCCAGACCTCACACTTGCGCAGTGGCCCCAGTTCCTGCTGCGATGGGAAAGGCGTTTGTCACCGGCCCGACGTGGTGACGTCACGAGAACGAAGCCGACGCCCCAGTTCCCCGCAACTCCCAGGCTGCGGGGAGCGGGGCCGTGAGGCCCGAGGGGGCCGAGAAAGCGTTTTGTCATTGTTGGCGCCTGGGGGAGCAGGCTTAGGGGACTCTTGAAATAAACTTAAGGAACCGTTATGAGTAATAATAAAAGAACCTTTACTCAGTGTTACAATCGTATACAAAACACTAACAATAAAAAGATAAAAGCCGTAGCATCTGTGTATAAAATAAAGTGCAGTGGCTACGGGACTGGGAAAAAGGACGGAAGGAATGGGCCCTGGCCAGCATCTCAACCTGCTGGAGATAAGAGGCTCTGAGCCTCTGCCTGAGGCCTAGGTGGGCCTTGGTCGGTTTGCCCAAGGCCCTAATAAGGGAAAGAGAGGCTAGGACGGGACAGCTTTTATGTGTTTGGGAAGCGGGTGTCTCCAACCAGCCCCTGCCACCACACCCCTGAGGCATCAGGCTGGTCTGGCCTCTGGCCCTGTCTACGCAGAAAATAGAAAAAGATGTGGCACTCGACTGTAATCCCCGGGCTCTGGGAGGCCATGGTGGGAGGATCGCTTGAGCCCAGGAGTTCAAGACCAGCCTAGGCAACATAGTGAGACCCCCATCTCTATAAAAAAAAGAAAAAACAAGCCAGCCATGGTGGTAAGTGCTGTCTCAAACAAAAAAAAAGAGAGAGAGAAAGAAAAACAAAACACTTGGCAGGAATTTTGGCAAGTACACCCTGGATGACAAGCAGGACTGTGAAGAGTTCCGAGGTGGTCTCACTAGCAGATCTTCAGGAGCAGGAACACTTTTATGGGAGCCCAGCCAGTGGAGAAGAGTTTATCACAAAGTTCCGCGAATCCTGTGTCCAAGCTCCTAGAATGCCCAGGACTGAGAACCAAAGTAAGAAACTGGCTTTCCCCAGGAAGCCACACTGCCTTCCCACTTCTTTAACTTCTCACTTGGCAGCTCCAGGAGCTGGCTGCTGAGGACAGAGTACAGCAGGGGTTTCTGCTGACATATAAAAGCCACCAGACCCTCCTGGGGCAATACCCAGCACCATCTGTTGACAGGGCAGCCAGGGAGACAGGCTGGGGGCCCCAACACTTTCTGAGCAGAATAAATCCCTTTATTGGCTGCAGGCCCTCTCCTCCAAAGGGTCCTACCCAAACTGCAGGGTGGGGATCCCATGCCCAATCTTCCCACCCCTCTCAGGAAGAGCTGGGCCCCAGAAACCCCCATGAAACAATAAATCCACTTTCTCTGACAATGTCAGCCCCTCAAGCCAATACTACAGCTAACTTCTGGTATTAAAATGACACAAGACTCCCCACATTGGAAACGGTGCTATAGAATCTGGTGTGTGGGTCAAAGGTAGTGAGACCTGTGGCCATGCAACAGTTCCCACTTCTTCCGTTTCATTAACATCCCCTAAGAGAGGGGCAGTCCACGACAGTCAGGAGACCTGGGTCTTGCTCCGTGGCTCTGAGCAAGCCACCTTTCCTCTCTGTGTCTCAGAAAATAAAGAGGATGGTTGTGATGATTCCTCAGTCCCCTCCAGGTACAAGTTTGGATCTGGAACCTGGAGAATGCCTAAAAAGCAAGGAGAGAAACACTCCCCAAAAGCAAATTTGGAAATGAGTTAACATTTAACTTTTTCAGATTGGGCTGAAAAAACGCCGGCCCTGGTGTCCTGACCAGCAGGACAGGGGCAAAACTCAAAAGGCCCAGGCTCAGGGCCTAACCTGTTCCTCACATCCTGCCTGGCTCCCCCCGGGCCCTCTGCTGCCACCCCCGCCGCAGCTCCACAATTTCCTGGCCATACCAGTTGTGCAGGGTGGAGAAGCAAGAGGTCTCAGGGGACACGGGGCTCTGCCCCCTGCCTAGGAGGAGGCTGGCAGGGCCCTGCAACTCCCACTCAGCCAACCCTCGCCCTGACCTGCTGCCCCCTTCAACTAAAGCCATGGGGCTGCAGTCTCTGGGGAGGGAGTGGCCCTTCTCCAGGCCTGGAGACCAACAGTCAGGAGCCTGGGGCTTACAGCGGCTGGAAATGGCCTTCCAGGATGAGTGGCGATGCAAGGCTAGGCTCTGGCGGGCGTCCTGCAACTGGCTCTCCAGCTCTCGTACCACCAGGCGCATGTAGCCAAAGCTTGCCCGGGACAGCGCCTTTACCCAAGCCTCCTGGGCCGCTGGTCCATCTGCTGCCAGCAGGTGTGGGCGCACTCCAGGGGCATCGAAGCAGATGGCGAAGGCAAACTCCTCGGGTGCTGGGGCTTCAGCCAGCTCCACTGTGCAGCCCTCCAGCACCACCAGGCTCAGCGGGGCCCGGCCCTCGCGACTCTCGAAGGAGAACAGCAGGTTGCCCTTGAGAACAAACCAGCATCTTCGGCCAGTGCCACTGGGGGTAGGTGGGGTCCCTGGGCCCCCCCAAGTACGCAGGAAGCCTGTGTGGTCTGCTGGGGAGTCGCTCAGCGCATAGTGGGCCACACTCCTCTCGTTCAACTTCATGGCTCCCACAAGAACTGTGAGGCGAGAAAGACGACATGGGATTAGAGAGGGAGGTGGCCCCTGTGGGAAAGAACATTGGATTTGGAGGAGACCTGGCCCCAGCCCCGTGGCCCCTACTCACTTGCTGTGTCCCTGAGGCTCTTAGTGTCTTCATCTGTGAAAATGGCTGGTCTTTCCTTCCTTTTCTCTCAAAGGGACATTGTGAGGATCATGCAAAAAACTGGACATCAGAGGACACAGAGAAAAGACAATGTGATTGTATCACACCAGGAGGTATGGCAGGACCTTGACAGAGCTTTCTAAAATTCAAAGAAATAGGCCCCAGCTGAGCTGAAATGGACCCCAAGCACATAGAAAACACTGTGCTTAAATTATCCCCTAACCTGGGGGCTTCTGAGCTCCAACTCTGAGGCCAAATCTCCAGGGTTTCCATGACCCACCTGGGCCTCTACTGGCCTCTCATTTGTGTACAGCACAGTTGAATCTTGTCGACCTAAAGGCAGAAGCTGAGGCACAAAATATAACTTTAAAGAGTTTGCTTGAGTCAAAGTGAGGACAGCTGCCCAGGACACACTTCCAAGTTGCTTTAGGGAGGGTTCCGTTAGGCCTTTGTTACAAGCAGGTTCTTTGTTTTGTTTTGTTTTATTAGACAAAGGGTCTCGCTCTGTTACTTGAGCTAGAGTGCAGTGGCGTCATCACAGCTCACAGCAACCTCCAACTCCTGGGCTCCAGGGATTCTCCTGCCTCAGCCTCCTGAGTAGGTGGGACTACAGGTGAGCACCACCACACTTGGCTGATCTTTCTATTTTTTGTAGAGATGAGGTTTCACTCTTGCTCAGGCTGGTCTTGAACTCCTAGCCTCAAGCAGTCCTCCACCTCGGCCTCCCAAAGTGCTAGGATTATAGGCGTGAGCCACCACATCCTACAAGCAGGTTTTGAAAGGCAAAAAGGGACAAGGAGGCCGGCGTGGTGGCTCACACCTATAATCCTAGCTCTCTGGGAGGCCGAGGCGGGTGGATTGTTTGAGCTCAGGAGTTCGAAACCAGCCTGAGCAAGAGCGAGACCCCGTCTCTACTAAAAATAGAAAGAAATTAATTGGACAACTAAACACTATATAGAAAAAATTAGCCGGGCATGGTGGCACATGCCTGTAGTCCCAGCTACTCGGGAGGCTGAGGCAGAAGGATCGCTTGAGCCCAGGAGTTTGAGGTTGCTGTGAGCTAGGCTGATGCCACAGCACTCTAGCCCGGGCGACACAGTGAGACTCTGTCTCAAAAAAAAAAAAAGGTAATTATTTAGCTCAAGAGGAGAGTAAGACTTGACTGCTGTCTTATTTCAGTGTCTCTCTGGGCCTAATAATTCAAAGAGGCTCTGATTCCTCAGACAAAAAGTTTCTTTTCTTTCTCAATCTGCAGCCTTCAGGGCCAGATCAGGGCCAGGCAGGGCAGGCCTGCCTTACGAGGGCTCGGATGAGCACCCACTCTGCAAACAAGAGTGTGGCGCACACACAGGGTATGGCTGAGAAGGACCAACCACAATCACTGAATGTAGATGCCCCAGGGATCATAAATGGCACCTAATGCAACTGTCCGCCTAACTCATGGCAAACTAAGGCCCAGAGCAGTGAAGGGGAACTGCCAAGGTCACACTGGCCAGTGAGAAGCAGAGCTTGGTCTCCCAATTCCCTCACACCTTCTGGGGGAAGTCTTGGCCGTGACCCACTTACCATCAGGGCCCATGGGGGAGGACAGAGAACTTCTATCTGGCCACACAGCTTAGCCCTTAGACCACGGGGTTCCAGGGAGCCTGCAAAACAATTCTCAAACCCAGTCAACCCATCCTAACGAATGAGAACTCCTCCTCCTCCTCCTCTGGGGTCCAGTGAAACCACCACCTCCACAGGAAGCCTTCTTTGATTCCTGATAATCTCCCCACCCATCTACCCAGGCCAGGCACCTATAAGCATCTGAAGGGGCCGGGTGCCCTTGTCTTGACCATTACACTCCAGACCTCAGATCCCTGTCGCTGAGGCTAGATCAGAGATGCCCTCGCAGCTTCCAGCTTTTCCCTTCTAGCACTTGCCAGGGTTTCTTTCTGGGCTTTAATTGAAGTGGCCTAATCCAAGAGGCCTTTCCTGATCACCAATTCTGAAGCGGCTCTGCCCACCAAGGTGGCCTGACCTAAGGTCGCCTGCCCAGCAGTCCTCTCTCTTCTGGTTTTGTTTCCTTCATGCCATGATGATGCTGTTTGTGTTTCCAGCCCCGGAATGTCTAGGGTGAGACTTGCCCCCAGGGTAACCCCCTATATCCCAGCACTGCGCAGGGCTCAGAGAGGCCCTCGGGAAGTAGCTGTGTCCCCTGCCTTCCTGAAGCCTACATGAGGGGGGGGGGGCGGACCCTGTAGGCAAACAAAATAAACAAATAACAAATTAGTGAAATGACAGACGATGTAAGGGCGGTCGTGATGAGGGCTGCGGAGAGAAGCAGCCCGGGCCCGGGGATGGGAGGGGTAGCCCGGGAAGCGGGAGGCGATCACAGACGTTTGCCCGACGAGTTGCCTCACTGCTCGTCCTGGGCCCGGCGCTGGGGCACTGGGGCGGGGCGCTCCCTGCTCCCCCCGGCAGCGGTGCCAGGCTCTCCCGCCCGCGCACGCGTCTTCCCGGATTCTTTTGTCGGAAGAGAGGCGGGCTGGCGGCGTGGGACCGCCCGGCTAGCAGAGGGCCCCCACCCGGCTGCCGCCCTGAAACAGGGGTCACCTCAGCCAGGATCTCCCCGGCGCGCTGCAGAGCCAGGGTGCGGGCTGCCGCCCGGGTTTCCCCATCCGCGCGGCCGGGCTCTTCCCGCCACGTCCCCGCGGCCACGCCTTCCCCGGAGCCCGCCGGGCCCCTCTCACCTCCCGCCGCCGATGGCGCTGAAGCCCAGGAGGGCAGCCCGCGGGGTGGGCTGCGGCCGCGCCCCCGGCGATCCCGGCTGCAGACCCGGCGCCTCCGCCCGCGCCGCCGACGTGGCCGCGGGAGCCTGGAGACCCCGCCCGGGAGCTCGGGTTACCGCCCCCGCCCTTCCCCGCCCAGTACTCACTGGGCCCGTCGGATCCGCGAAGCCGCCCCTGCATCCACAAGGGAGGGAAACTGAGGCCCAAGAGGGCAGTGACCTGCCCGAACCACAGAGCTGGTCGGTGCGGGTCGGCCTCCAACTCAGAGACCCACCTCAGGCTGTTCGCTGGCCTTATCCCAGCCCGCCGCCAGGAGAACTCAGAGTCCTTCCTTCTCTTTGCCCTCTGGTCCCCCTCTCCCCACCCGGCCCACTTCTCCCCCAGAGCCAAGCCAGGCACAGCCTCGCTCTGGGCGCCTCCCAAGGGCGGGCTCCTACACAGCCCGCGAGGCCCCGCTGAGCTTTCCTAGCCGCTCGACCGCGCCCCTGTGGTCAGCCGATCTTTGCCTCTGGGAATTATCCATTTCTGCTTCTGCCGCCCGCCCTAAAACCCACCCACAGCCTCCAGGCTCTGCTCGGAGTCGGTCCACGGGTAGGCCTGCGGCGAAGGTTGCAGGAATGAGCAACCAAATGCAAGAGGCTGTAGTTTCCCGAAGGCTCTGGAAGCCCGGGGTGAGCTCAAACATCTGCCCATGAAATTGTGGGTTCCCACCTCAGAGCCTTTGCCCTTGCAGTTCCTGCAGCCTAGGGCGCCCTTCCTTCTCACCCTCAGCCCCGGCTCTGCTCCTCAGGGCTCCTTGCATCATTTGAGTCTCAGCTCAGACGTCCCCTCCCTGACAATGCAATGCACAGCAGGCGCCCCTCCATCTCTGCCACATCCGCGGGCTGTATGTTCATTTCCATCAAACGCACCACTACAGTAAACTCTGCACTCAGGCTTTTACTTCCTGTTTATTGTCTGTCTCCCACCCCCCAAATTTCATTCAATTAATGGTATAAACCATAATAAATGTTTTGGAAGATAATAAGTGGCGTGGAAAAAATAGAGCATGGTGAGAGAGATTGGGAATTGTAGGGGTGGGGAAGTTGCAATTTTAAATAGAATGGTCAGAGTAGGCCTCACTGAGAAGGTGACATTGGCCAATGCTTGAAGGAAAGGAGGGAGCCAGCCACATCAATGCCTGGAGGAAGAGCATTCCAGGCAGAGGGAGCAGCCAGTGCAATGGCCCTGAGGCCCACTGTGTTTGAGGACCTGCAAGGCCAGTGTGGCGGGGAGGCAGTCCGAGATGGGGGCAGAAGGGGTGGGATGTGGCTCTGTAAATGTGTGGCCTGTCACTCCACATTCGGGTGAGCAGCCCTCCCAGGGTTGTGAGTGAGAGGTGACCTGAGCTCTGTTCCCAGGCCCACCGCGGCTGCTGTGGACAGAGGGGACATCAGAGGAAGCAGGAGCGAGGAGGCTGCTGCATGAGACGAGGGCAGCGAGGGAGCGGCGGCCTGACCTGGAGTGGGGTGTGAAGGCAGCAAGGCGCGGGATCTGCGCAGGGATTGGCTGGGGGCTGAGGGGGAGAGGAGGACTCCAGGGTTTGGGCTCCAGCACCTGCAAGGAGAGTGGCCACGACCTGGGAAATGGAAGGCGGCAGGTGTTCACTTTGGGGCCCGTGATGTTTGAGATGCCCAGTGGTCACCCTCGTGGAGGTGCTGTTGGGGCACAGAAAAACGACACCCCAAAGTATGGCACTTTGGCGTGCTGAGAACTTTCAACCGAAGGACACGGGAAGGGCCTCAGAAGCAAAGTCTCTCTCCGTCCTTTTCCGCCCTTCTCTCTCCATAGAAACTAGAATTCCTCTTCCTCAAGGTGGGTCGCGGAAACTAGAAATGTTCCTCGAACCTCCCCTCACCTTCACCTGTAGGAATTGGCCCCCTGGTCTCCCCTGTCTGTCGACAGGGCATAAGTCATTTGTCATTTGGAAGAGGCGCTGCCCACTCCAGGAGGAAGGATCAGGACAGACCCGGCTGGGCTTCCCCATGCAGTCTATTACCACTAGACCCTTCCCTTTCGTCTAGTCACATTTCTATATGGCTGTTCTTTTTTCATCGAACCTAACCATACAAATACAGTTTTCCCTGAGTCTTTGGGTCTTCATTTCTGAAGGCTCCCATGTCATGTAAAACTCGGACTCAATAAACCTGTTTGCTGTTCTCCTGTCTTTTGTTATAGGAGTGTCTGCTGT